TTTAATATGTCTCAAATTAAATGTATCATGTTAGATATCAGAACACAAGTTCAGCATTTTAGAACTGCACATTTTCAATAGAATTGCAGTATACGAGGTTGCCAATAGATCTCAGAGGAGTTAGGCAAACTACTTTTGTTTTTAAATGCTTGGAAACTAAGGCTCTGAACAAATATATTACAAAAGATGAATGAACACATTTGGCAGACTCATTTTGAATCTCTCAAACTTCTTTTAATTATGTTCTGTCTTCTTACAGAAGTGAATCTCTCATTTCTAAGGTGTTTCTCTGTAGAAAATGAATTAATATGTAAAAGTATAACTCTTTTTTGTTAGAATGTCTTCAGTATTTAAAAAATGTCTAAATAAATCTAAGTTGCTGGTATTCAGTTATGTAAATCTAAACAGTTCTTACCTTTTAAATAATTATTGTAGGTGCTAACTTACTCAGATATATTTAATTAAATGAATACCATCCTCTGCTGAAATGTTGTTCAGATAATTCTAATTAAATAAAATAAAAAGCTGTTTTCCTTTAGGAGTAAATAGTCACAAAGATACATTAGAAATAAAATAGCTCCATATAGCTACTCTTGTCAATCTTGGGAACATGATACCTCTATAAGATTGGGAAAACTCGTTCACTGAAATTATCGTAACACGTTTTCCCTCCTTACACATTCTATTTTTTTTCACACTTCTGTTCTATCATACATTCTTTGTCTTATGTGAAGCAGGTAAATTTTGATTCCTGTTGCCATTCTCCTACCTAGAAATCCGAGGACCTTCCTAAGGGTCCCACATCCTCAAAAAGCGGTATGGGACTGTAAATAGCCCACAGTTTGCACTGTCAAAAATTACATTTTTCCTGTTACATTAGGAATACTATATTTCAATTGATAAAATTAAATAATTGATAAAATTAACATTAGACTCCATAAAATTATCATAAAGTATAAAACTATAAAACCTTTAGTATGGGAGGCTGAAGCAGTAGGATTGCAAGTTTAAGCCAACTCTGGGCAATTTAATGTCTTAGAGAGACCTTGTCTCAAAATTGAAAAAAATAAGTGTGTGTGGGGGAGACTTAGTGAAAACCCTGTTTTCTGTTCCCAGTATCACAGTACAAAACAAAACAAAATGCATTCCTCTAAACAGAAAAGCCCTTTCCGGTTTTTAAATGAATCCAAACATACTGTTCAATTTGTGCTCTTCATCCTATGATACTTTCAAGCTGCAGGGAACCAACAACATTCACAACTGTGTTCTCTTGAACATTCACATCATAGAACAGTGCGTTTCATTTGTCACTACATTTTACTTCTTTTTCCAACATTTAATACATTATTATCTCTACTTCAAGGACCATGGAAGTAAACGCAGAGCCTAAGTACAGGTTCTTCTAACATCTTAAGAATGTTCTTAGGATGCGACAGGGGCAAATCTTGGCAAGGTTTCTATCATGAAATCCCTTCAAATGTCCAATTGCCCCTGCCAAAATCTAGATAAGTAAAAGCAGGACTAGGGTGAGAGAAGAGAAGCTGGGTGGTGCAAGACCAGGTTTGGTTCCTGTTTTAATTTAAAATTGTGGTTCTTGGTTTATTAGGGACTAATTCATTAATTTTGATTTTTTAAAATATTATTTATCTGACTGGGAAGATACCCAGAAGGGGAATATCTGGGTCAAATGGCATCTCCAATTCTAATGTTTTAAGGAATCTCCACATCAATTTCCACAGTGGTTGCACCAGTCTACACCCCCACCAACGATGGAAAAGAGTTCCTTTCTCCCCATATCCCCTCCAGCATTTGTTAGGTTGACTTTTTGATGATAGCCATTGTTTCCAGGGTGAGATGGAATCTCAGCGTTGTTTTAATTTGCATCTCTCGAATGACCAGTGATGTTGAACATTTTTCATATATTTATTTAATATTGTTTGGACAATTAAAGAAATCTTGTACTCTGAGTAACTAAAGATAATAATACTCAATGTATTAACCATTGCTACCCTCCTATCATATTGTTTTGGAATTTTATTTTTTTTCTTTACAATAAAAAATATTATTTATCTTGTTTTATTAACTTCTTCATACCTTAGATTATATGCATGAGATAAATGCCTCACTCAGTGTTACTGTTCCCAAATTTTCTAGGTAACATCTCTATTTCTGGTTATTTAGTACTAGAGAGAGAGAATATGATTCAATATAGAGGAAAGCCATGATGATATTTCATTGTTAGAGTAGTCCAAACTGAAATGCAACCAGCCAATACAAAGTCTGTAATATTTTCTTCTAAATCATTTCTTCTAAATGATAGCAAAATGATTTTTATCTGGCAAATATTTGTGGATATGCCATGAAAATTTTCTTACACAAAAAGCCTCTTGCTGTTTAATGTGCAACAAGTAGTCTGCAATTTTCCTCCTTTTTAAAAATGATATAACATTATAAAAGAATAGATGAAGTTTTTACTTATATACATTAACTAATATCATATATTTCATATGTGACCTAAGACTTTTCCTCTTCATTCTGAGAGGGAGTGGCAAGAAAGTAAGGCAGGCTAATGGTCAGAATGACAGTGTTACAGGGGCCTATGAAGGAGAAATCAGGGCCTTTATTTAAAAACTTCAAAATGGGAAAAAGAAGAACATGAACACTTTGGTTAGATTTGTTCTTTAACCTTTCATATCTTAAGCAAGATTGTTTAAGCTTCCTGTTTCTTTTAAAAGAGAAACAGGGGTTCTCTTCATGATTACCTTAATCATTTGCCTGTTTTAAAAAGAGATACCATTTGTACAGATGAAAATAATTACAATTGCTGAAGAAGTCACTGTTTTCAAATGACAGCAGCAGGTATATATGATCTTGCTTACAGCTACAAATCTTTAAGAGAAAATCTGCAACCTATTCCCAGAAAAAAAATGGAACAAAATTATGGACTTGAGCTACAACTTGGTACTGCAGCTAATCACACTTAAAATTTTGACTATTTATTTCAGGAATCAAACTATCTCAGCATCCAGTTATTCTACAAGTACATCTTGTAATGGTATAACATGAGTAATTTTTTAAACAAGCGTAACATGTAATAAAATTTCACTAACTGTAGTGTGTATAAACAAAATCACATGTGAGTTTCATGGGACATCTATAAAGATAGAAATAAAAGGGACAGAAATCTTCTTTATCCAGCTCAATATTTAAGTAATGCTTATTTAAATAATATTTAAATAAGTGAGGTCCATAGCAGCAAACATAGTGTAATTGTGAAATATAAAAACCTAAGATGAAAAAAGTATGCATTGGGATTTTTGAAAATAATACTGAGAAATTATTAACTGTAGTTTAGCAAACTAACATATCTATTCTCACAATTACCAGTCTGTGTGTACATGTGGCAAAAGCACCTAGAAGCTCTCTATCTAAAATAAACTACCATTACCTACAGTCGTGGTGTTGTACCTTAGCTCTCTAAACTTGTTCATCCTTCCTATTTGCAACTTTCAATCCTTTGACCTACATCATCCCACTTCCTATCAACTACCGTCACCCCTGGTAAGCATTATTCTGTTTAAAAGGAAGACATAGAGGAAAAGGGGGTAATTTATTTTTAGTATCTACAACTCTAATTGGACAATTTTGGATCCACATGGTTTCCAGTTACGGCTTATGTCTAGATGTCCCCCCAAAACCTCTGCAGTCATAGGTGGGGCTTTTGCAGAGTTGACTGAATCTAGAATGCGTGACTCTGGGATTGATTCACAGCACAATGCTAAGATTAAGGGCACTAGCGTTAAGGGTGTGAATGCTACCTGCTCTCAGGGCGGGTAGCCTGGATAAGATGTAGGGGACAGAAAGAGCCTTGTCACTTGTTGATCGCTTCCTTGATTTTGCTGTCTTCTGACTGTTAAGAACTGTTCCTCCTCTCTGATGCTCCTCTGCCATACCACCCTGCCTCACAGACAGCCACCTGCAGACTAAGACCTCTGGAAACTGTGAGCTAAATCAACTTTTCGTCCCTTAAAAAAATAAAAATAATACTGAAAGGTAATAGATATGACTTATACTTTAATGTATAAGTAATTCAGGTTTTGAAATAATAAAAGATTCAATTCATCATGTTGTTTAAATTTCCCAAGTCCTCTCTGTAGGAATTATTGGAACAACATGTTTGTGTACTTTGCATGTGCTGCAAATACTATGCTCATTTAAGCTAAATTGGAAAAAAAAATCTTTTAAAAGTGGAACAGCATGCATCAGGGAATTGTTTGTCTATGGAAGGGTCACACTGACCTGGAGCTCGGCTGCAGAGCTGATGCAGAGACTCTGTTGCCAAGCCCACTATTTAGCCGCATTGTTTCCAGGAATGCTTCACTATCTGTCCTCATTTTGATAAAACTCTGTTTCAGGCGTATATATCTGATTGAAAACCCTTTTGTGTGAGGAGTTTCTCTATTCTTTTTTTTTTTTTTGTACCAGGAACCTAACTCACGACCTCATGCTTGCCAGGCAGGCGCTTGTGCCACTGAGCTATATCCCCAGCCCTGTGTAAGGAGATTCTATCACTGCTCATACCCTTTGTAAAACCCAAATGCTGCACAAGAATAGGTTAGCATATGAAAATTACACAAAAATTGTATCACTCTCATACTCAATAACACAAAAATGGCTGTGATTTGAAAGTGGACTGGAACTGCATCGAAGGGGGTACAATTGTAGAATAATTGGAAATTGAAATGAAAAAATGAATTCAAATGTTACTGTACAAAAGAGGGAAAACAAAAGTTGGGAAATCCACATTCCACTTAAATTTCTTCAGTTCTATGATTATAAAATATCTATAATTAACTTTATGATGATTCCCATGTATAAGCGCCCTTGGAAATCATTTGATGTAATGACAGACAGACAGAGACAAATCTGTTCTCATTGATAAAACAAATCATTTGATTAGAGTACACTGATAAAATAAAATATGCATGGCTTGAGTTTATTTTCTGTTGAATTTATTAATAATCTTTATATATATTTATATATGTATGGCTTTGAGCAAAAACAAAAGAAATATTCTAACTCATCCCTGATCATACAGCTGTTAGAAGAATTGGCTACCTTCCCAGCAGCAAAAAGACCAATGTTTTCAATAATACATTTCTTTCTGTACAATTAAAATTCCAACCTTATGGGCTTACCTATGTACAGAGAAGTGTGGTCACTTTCAACTAGCAATGAACATTTATATTACAGAAATGTGAGTCAGTTTTTTAATCTAAGTATATACACATTCATACATATATGTATATAATTTACCCTGTACCATTTTATTAGATTAACATATAAACCTTAGGTTTTTTTCCCCATTCTATTACAAAGTGAATAAAAATTTTATGGTTGCACTGAAAGACCATGCGATTCAATTTTGCTTATGTTTCCCAATAGTGCTCAAAATAAAAAATCAGAAATTTATATATATATATATACATATAAAAATATTTCACTACCAAACCCATTAATCCTATCAAATGTAAACCTTTAACAATTTAAAGGATTGATGCATGATCTTAATAAATTGAAGTTAATTCTCTATCTTAATAAAATAAACGGGTTTTGTACTGATATGTAAATGGTCTTGCAGCTTTCCCATAGGGTCTAGGTAGACAGAACAATCTTGTTTGAACACCATTCCTGACATGTCATCATTTGTCACCAGCAGGCTAATGACAATAGTACATTGACTATCATTATTGATTACCTCCACACAACTTGGGATCTGTTAGAACTGAAACATAATAACTCATTTGGTATTTTATTACATCCATAAAGGCAGAGCAGGCAGCATGGATCCCTTTAGAGTTTCTGTTTTCTTTTGGTTCTGTCCTTGAGCCTATCTGGAGGCCCGGCAATGTGTCATCTTTGTTAATTTCTTCTTAAATATGTTGTCAGTGTCAGAGATCCTGAAGACCTCCACTTCAGGACATTTTCTCAACTGGGGTTATTTACACAGAAGTTGGATACTAGGAATCTTCCCACTGTGTTGCAGTCATCTACTACAGTTGTGGGATGTATTGAGGCACAAATAATTACTAAGGGGCTTCTTAGGGAAGAGGCAGATGCTCAGAGATCATGGAAAGAATTAAAACAAAAGAACAAATAAATAGTGCTCACAGACATTCAACTTTACCTTTGCTTTGTCACCACATCCATACTATTTTCAGCACATTTAAAATAACAGACTTCCTATCTAAGATCTACGTTACTCACCACATTCCTTAGTGTGCACTAACCACATTCAGCAAAATGTGCGGTCCCAGGCAGACATGAAGATATATTGTTGTGTTTATTTCTTTAAATTAACACTACAGTACATTACTAACTATAATGAGGACGCAGAACACGTATGCTATTCAAAATCAAGCCACGGTTTACAAATAATTATGTAAATAATGATAATAGCCATAATATTAAATGAAAGTGAAAACCTCACTTCTAGACTTAAGTCAGAGATCCAAGTCAGCCTCATAAGAATTTTAAGATAGGCAATTAATAAATTGTTATACTTTTCTAGAAATGAGAAAAACTGTAAGCCTTCCTTTACAGTGACTGATTTGAACCTATTTTTTCCCCAGAAAGCATGCAGGGACTATTTTAGGATGCTTGATTATGGCAATAAGGAAGAAAAGTAATGATTTTTGGTGTAATACAAGCAACTTGTAGATTCGAGCATACAATTTTGCATAAAACATTGGCAGATTAAAATAATATTGTAGGTGTCAAGCCATTGCATTACATTTGAGTAATTGTCACAATTAGGTTTTATAAAATTTAAAACTCTAAGTTTTGAAGTGAACAAATAAAACTAAATTCTTAAACAGTGACTTTTACCTTCATACAACACAGAATAGCTATTTTTATTTGGGCTGAGTAAAGTATTTACAGCTAACATTGATTGAGTCTTGGTAGCAGTCTGACAACACATGAAGACAAATATCCCTCAGTTTTCTAAAAGATCAATGAATGTGTTTGAGGTTAAAGATATTCTTGATATGACAATGCTAGTCTCCTACAGTGGCCAAGCATGTAGTGTGTTTTTTATCTAATTTAAAATTGAAAGCACCAAAATACAATTTTATCTATAAAATGGGGTTTGCTATGTAGTACTCTATGATTGATGACTAATAATTCAAATGCAAGACACAGCTAACGAAAGTTTTGACTGGTGCTATTCCAGAGCTCATTTAAGATACCTTTTTAAAATCAGAATTTTGTTCCCATTGAATCCAAGAACTCTTTATAAAACAGAGAAATACGTATATCAAAGGAATTAAGTAAAAGTAGATTAGAAATAAATAATCTTACAACAACATTTCAAATCCTTTAATAATTAAAAGAACGGAAAACATATAACACTGAATGCTAAACAGGTCTTTTCAACTTCTCGTGGGAATTTAGATATATATATATATATATTTAATAGTATATGCATATATGTTTTTACATTTTACATGTAGGCCAGAGCTGTCTAAAATATCTCTTCATAGTAGGCTATAAGGATCTATCAGGAGATAGAATAAAATAAGATCTGAGAATATTCTCAGTTTACTAGAGTAATTCTTTCTGCTTTGACAATCAGCAGGGATCATAAATTTGAAGCAAATCGTGGCTTTTCTGCATCTGGGTCTGTGTTTAAGACTGAGGAAGCCTCTCTCTGCAGGGCGGGGGCTGGGGGCGGGGGTGCGGGCGGGACCCCTCGGGTGGGCGGAATAGCCCCCGACGACATCTGTCTGAAGAGCGTGACTCGCTGCGGGACGGTGCTCCTGCCCCCTGCCTGCAGGCCCGTACCGTGGACAGCCGTCACGGGCTGAGGGATGGAGGCCAGAGACTCGCCCACGGTGGGATGAGGTCTGGAGATCAGCGTGGACACCTCGTGGGGCAGCGAGGGCTGCGAGGCCGAGAGGGGCCTGACCTCGCGGCTCAGGCTGGTGTTGTGCAGCGCCTGCGTGCTCTTGTGCACTTCGTTCTTCGGAGTGGAGCTGCCTGGGGTCTGCGGCTGCTGGGGCTGCGGCTGAGTCTGGGGTGCCTGGGACTGCTGAGCCTGTTGCTGCATGAGTGACAGCTGCGAGGCAGTGGGGGAGGCGTAGTGGAAAGTTCGCGTGGCCAGCGGGCTCTGCACTGGAGGGCTGCAGACCGCAGTGGTGTAGGAGCAGGGCGACAGGACGGCGGAGGGCTGCGGCGTCTGTGTGCTGGGGCTGGGGGAATGCAGGTTGCTATGAGACAGACTGGTCGCTGTGTACACCGGCGGGGACTGCGTCCTCATGCGCGAGGTTGGAGTGGCGGCGGAAGATGTGGAATTCAGGGTCGTCATTTGAGGATAATTGATTGGAGCGATTGCCTGCACCATCTCCCTGTCGTGCTTCACAATCTGCTTCAGGATCTCATTCTCCTGGTTATTGAAAACACCAGTGTTCAGATCCTTTTGGAACTTTTGCAGAAGAATGGAGTTTTTCTTCCCTGTCAGAGGGAAAAAAAATTGCAGGCACTTAGAAAGGCCACACACCGCTGATGACGACACCACGTGCTAGTGGCTCCATCAAACAGAAGTATGTCAGCGGTTTGCCCAGGGGCAGCCAAGCCAAGAACTCATTTTTGGACCCCAATAGCAATAAAGCTTGTGCCTCCTCTTGCAGCTTCCTGTATCTGCCTGGTAAATCTTATCTCCTACTCGACCCGAATTGAATGCCTATAAGATGACCAATGCCACTTTACAGAAGAAATGGAAATATGTAACATCAGGGCAATCTTGAAAAGTAAGAGAGGAAGGGGCTTTCGGATCAGATTTGAATTTCAATCTGCCTTTCAAAGGAAGACTTCTGGGGAAACGTGAGCTAATGTTAAGCACTTGCTCTGTGCCAGGTAATCCATAAAAGGCTTTCATAGTGGATTACTTGACCTAATATCTTCATGCCCGTGAGGTAGGTGTGTTTATCAACCCACCCTGACTAGAAAGCAGATCTGGGCATGGGAAGAGTCAGAACAATGTGCAGAAAGCTTTGCTAGGTAAACTAGAGGGCAAGGAAGGCTGCGGAGAAAAGGTGCTTGTGTGCCCTTGTTATGCGTAAGGGCGCACATGTGGGTCATCTGGGCCTTGCTAAAAGTGCCTCCTCCTCTTGGGCTTGACTCCAGTTGCTGAATTGGACGTTGTATTTTACTACACTCCCAAGTAATTTCCACCTGCAAGTTTGAGTAACATTCTATTTGGGTCTTGTCACTCGCCAGTGTCCAATGGCAGTGATTCTAACTGCTCATTTCTCTCACGTGATCTGCAGAGTTTTACAACATAAACAAAAAATGTGCATTCATACTCTACAAATTTAATGTGAATAATCAGACAAAGGGTCCAGATTTCAGTTTTTGAAAAACAAATTTCCCCAGGGCATCCTTGTGTGCATCCAGGTTGAGAATCCCTTCAGGATCATTCCTCTTCTAAACCATCATTGTGAGGGCCAAGGGCACACAGCACGGCGGGCTTTTAGAACTCTCTGGACTGAAATAAGCATTAGCTCTTCCTCCTGCCAGCGTTTCTGGAGTGGTTTGCAATAACCAGATTCACTGGCAGGAAAAAAAACTAGAATCAATAGTGAAAGAAGGGAAAGGCAGTGCCCTCAGTGATGCAAAAATACCCAAGTGAATACAGTAACTGAAAAGCGAAATCAATTTGCTATATTATTAAGATACTATATGGAAAATAACAAAGTATGTATTTATGTATATTTTTTTCAAAATTGAAAAACATGCTATAATTTTCTTGATTGAAGAGAAAAACATTTTAAATTATTGCCAAAGTAGTTACTCTCTTTTGTTAAAAATTGTCCTAGTTTCCCAAAGTAAAAGCTCCTATACTAGTAATACATATGAATATTTATTCAGGGTATCCCTTTAACTAACTACAGCATACATTTATAAGCAGTGGCTTTATAATTCTGAAAATGATAATGTTTCTTTTTAAGCATGTGAATAATCTACATATTTACAATCTTGGAAAGAATTACTATGCCTTTGTTTTTTTTCTTTTTTGTCTTTTTGAGACAGGGTCTTGTTGTGCAGTTCAGGCCTGCTGTGAGCTCACTTTGTAGCCCAGGCTGGTCTCCAACTCGCAACAATCCTCCTGTCAGCCTCCTGAGTGTTGGGATTACAGGCATGCGCCACCACGCCCAGCTATGACTTTCAAAGTACTGTTATGAGTTCATAAAGGTCAAAGTACAGATAACTGGTGCTTGATAGCAATTTTATTTCCTATATAACTGATTGCAAACCACTTCAAACAAAACTGCAATAATTTAGATGCAAGTGAGGCTGTATCAATTAACAGAAATTCTTTTCTGAAGCAAACTAAAGTTTATGCTTTGTCTAAATGTGTCTTTTCATTTAGGAAAAACCTCATATATTAAGGAACCAGTCTCTATGTCTAATATAAAATCCTACCACAAAAGGGAGCTTTCACTACTTACTTCCTTTATTGTTACTGCTCTCTGGCATGACTGTGTTCTGTTCTCTAATGTTCTCTAACCTGTTGGTATGAATTTCTAATACGTTTGCTACATCTGCTGATATGTTCAAATACTACCTTTATTCATTTTCATGTAATTTTAGACCCTCACCTAGTCTACCGTTCTATAATATAGAGGGAAAGGGAGACACCAAGTGCAAAAACAACAACAACAAAAAGATGACATCAGTCTGCATTCTTACCTCCAATAAGAAGGAAGCAGTGGCGATAGCTTGCGTTTACATCTAACTGTTCCCAGTCCCATCTCCTCTGAGACCACTTGTGCTTCCCTCCCTCCCTCCCTTTCTTCAACTCATATTCATTGTGTACCAGGTACTGCAAATGTAATGGTGAGTTAGGCGTGATCTCTCCACTTGTGAACTTTAGCATCTCTTAGAATAATTACTGTGCTGGTGAAGCTTCAGAGGCTATAGGAGAACGTATGCAGGAAGCCCAGCCTGTGGGGTGTTGAGAAGTCAGTGAAGTTTCCACAGTGAAGTGATGTCTAGAACTGGGTTACGAAGGCTGAGGACTAAGCTGGCAAAGGGGGTAAAGTAGGAGGGAGGTAGGTTTGGAAAATGACTGTATACCTTTTTATGACATATCAGAATGCTCCCGCATATCTAAGGAAGTTAATAGCAAGCCAATCTGATCTAACTTTACTATGCAATTATGTAAATCTTTAAACTAGCATAACTAATCTGGTCTAATTTATGAACATATATTTTTATTGGGTAGCAGAAAAGACTTTAAATGTGTTGATGTTTGCAAAGTAAAACATCTATGTAGGGCACTTCTATCAAGGCCTTTTCTGCTTGAGTCTGTATTACAAACATTTCAGTAACTATCTGCTGAGACAAATTTAAATACAAAAATTTTCAATTTTAATGTACAGAAAAATATAAAGTTGGCCCTTACAAAAAAAAAGAGAATCTTGTGATAAAATTTGGTTTGTAATGTAGACTCATACTATTGTACTTTAGTTCTAAAATAATGTTATCTAGAATTTGTGTCATTCTCTTTACCTGAAGGTTCAGACTGTTGTGGTATCTCTTGGGAAATCAGATTGTGTAGCTAGTAAAAACAGACAGGAGTAAATAAATTGGGCATACTTATAAAGGATAGACAGGATCTCAGATTTCCCTAAAATACGACTACGGCTAATTGCTATTTCTACACAAATTAATAAGCAAGCTACGAGTGAGCATTTGGGATTTAGGATTGAAAACTGATATTGCTCCACTAGACTAAAACTAAATTGTTCATGAATAAGGTATAAACTGAAAAGTACCTATGCGATCTAGTCGGTCGATGGCAACTGTCTCAAAGGCTCTCCTCATCATTGGATATTCTTCCAGGACCTCGTTGAAATTGTCCACAGAAAGGGAATAAAGACGACAGTATGTATCAGCTCGAACGCTGGCAGTGCGGCGACCCTTGGTCAGTAGGCAAATTTCTGTAAAAATAAGAAAGAATGATTTGTTAGCTCATTATCTTTCACAAGGTTATTAACTCCTCCTGCGATTAAAAAGAAAAGGCCCCATGGCATGTGAAACCAATAGTCAGCAGGGTCTTATATTGTATCAGGAAATTCTTTCTGACAATTAAAAGTGTTGGGGTTATTAACGTCAACTGAAAAATAATACTCTTTTTGAAACAATTAACGCTTTTGGTTTAAATAGAAGATTTATTTGTCCTTGAACCTGTATTCCAATCACCCTTAAATAAGAACAGCTATAAAGATGCAGAAAAGGAAATTTTTAAAAATCCAAATAAAACTGAAAAAAAGAAAAGGAAACCAAAGTTATGAATTCTGGGAGGCAGAAACAGATGGTCTGAGATGGACATAAATGGAAGTGAGCCCAAACATTTTCTTAGTAAGCCCTGTGATCAAACAAAACTGGACTAGAGTTCAGATGAGTATTACAAGATACATTAGTGTACTAGTGTACTGCACATATTTCCAATGAGATAAGGAAAACAGTTATCTTAAGAAGAAAAAAAAATGTAAGTTTTCTGTTGAAGTATCTTCTAAGAATTTTTTGTTGAAATTTAGATTCTAAAGATATTTGGATTTTCTTGTTTGCCAGCTAAATTTATCTACAAGAGATAATTTTCCTTTTGGTTTTATAAATTTCATGAACTAAATCAAATGCCTGTAGACTTTGATTTTTAAATGAGGAAACAATTTTATAAAGTTATCTCTAAAATACTCAACTTGAAAAGGGAAGTGGTAGAAGTATTTCTAAAATTTAAGTCTCCTAATGAAAGGAAATGTAGCAAAATAGTGGTTAAATATCTAAATTCACACTCTTCTGAACATACTTAAATTCTGTTCATGATAGCACTGTGAGGTTATGATGCTTCAGACTTTATATAATTAATGTTGAGGCTGGAAACATTATAACTACTGAAAATTATAACTACTTTTGTATTACTTATGTTTTGGCAGTTTAAAAAGTTTAATTTAAAAGAAGATCTTATTTAAATGCAATCTTGTAAGAAAAATAATACAAATACACAATCTCTGGGAATATTTAAAGGCATTTGAACCAATCTGGGAAAATAGGTAGGACTTTCGGAAATGCCACCTAAATCCCTAATATTAGTTTCCATGTTAGTAAATATGTGGTAACTTAATACATGATATTTTGGAGTGTTTATGTTTGTGTATATGTGTAAGTGTGTGTCTGTACATGTGTGTGTGTTTGGTGTTTGTGCAAGAAGACCAATCTATATTGGGCAATATTTAAGCAAATTACCATACCATGTAATTTGTCTGATACTCCTGACACCATAACTACTTAGAACTACTTCAAAATTAAATTCCAGTGTAACTGAGATATTTGTCGAATTATACAATAAAGACATATAAAATATCTATACCTTTCAACCAAGAAATTTTACTTCATAATGTATGGATGTAGTATGTAATTAGGATGCTTAAGCAGTGATATAAATTACACATTTATTTATACATGTAAAAATTTTGCAATGACCTAAATGTATGATAAGTCAAGAATTATAATCAAGTATATGGCTTCTGGATGTACCGTATGCAGTTATTATAAATGTAAAGTTTAAAGTCTATGTGGTTACAGCAGAAGGATATGAAAACAAATGAGAAAAGCAGGCGACAAGATTACAATTTTATTTATTTTTAATTGCTCCACATGTAAAATTTTTAGTTTTGCACATGCATAATTTTTATTTTGAAAACTTATTTTAAGAAAATTATCTAAATGAATAGAATAAAAAAAAGATTATACAGGAACATAAACATGTTTACAATGATTATAGTAGTAGAAATTTCCTCAAATTTACATTACATTCTTTACAATATGTCTTATTTGGCTCTTTAGAGTTTTTCATTTCCAAATGCCTTTCATTTTTCTCCATTTGTTGCTTTATCATTGTGGCCTTCTCACTCCTGCTGTTCCCCCTCTCTGGGGAGGGGACAAAGATATCCTTTTTTTATCCTAATAGGCATTAAGAGTTATGAGTGTCAAGGATAGATACCTGCTATGTGTGATGGATGATTGACCCTGGGAGTTTGAGTAAGAGAAGCTTAACTAATTCAGCTCAGCAATTCCACACCCTCGGGTGGGGAGAGTAGCTCATCACCTGGATGGTAAAAAGGGGAAATGAGGAAGAACGGATCCACTTCTGTTTCTTCAGAGGAGCTGCAGTCTACACCCCCACCTTGGGCGTCATCTCCTGGGTTCTAGAACAGACTAATTAGCTTCAGCACAGATCCTTTGGGCTTCAGGCATAGATTCTTCTTTTTTTGTACAGGGAATCGAACTCATGACCGAGAGTTTGCCAGGCAGGAACTGTGCTGCTGTGCTATATCAGCAGCTTCAGGTGTAGACTCTCAAGCCTGCCATCCCAGACCCATTGGCCTAATGACACGGACTCACACAGGACACTGAAGTGAGTTCTGGGCCACTCACTGAATGTTTCGGTATCCAGTGTGCAGACGCCCTCTGCACGCTTCCTCAAATGACTCTGCTGGTAGCCACTGGAAGCCAGTCTTGTAATTTCTCATATATTTGTATATCTTGTGTTATATCTGTTTTTGTAGCAAACACTGGCATACTATGACACGGAAAAACTGCAATAATGTTCATTGAAAGAAGCAAGGCATGAGAGTTCACATGTTGTATTACTCCATTTATATAAATATGCAGGAAGATTAAGTCTATAGACACAGGTAGCACACTTGTGCTTTCGAGAGCAGGGAATAGTGAGCATTTTAACGATATTAATTTTTTCAATCATGAACATGGGAGGTCTTTCCACTTTGTGTGTGTGCATGTGTCACCTTCAATAAATTTCACCAGAGTTTTGTTATTTTTATTTTAGAGGTCTTTCAGTACCTGGTTAACTCTATTCCTAGGTATTTCATTTACTCACTCTCATAGCTTTCATTTCCTTTTCAGCAGTACCAGTATTAGTATATAAAAACTGAGTGATTTTTATTTGTTGATTTTATAACCTGCCATTCCTGAATTTTTTTGCAGCTCTTATAGAATTTTGATGACATTCTCTTCAATATATAGTGCTGAAAAAATGGGATATTCATATACACAAGACTGAAAATTGAATGCCGTCTCTCATGCTATATACACATAAATTCAAACTAGATCAAATACCCAAAAGCAAGCTATGAAACTAGTACAAAAAAATAGGAAAATACTTAAAATATTGGCGTGGGCAAGAATTTTTAGACAAGACCACAAATGTATAGGCAAAAAATCAAAGAAAGACAATGTGATTACATCAAACTAAGAAGCTTCTTCCAGCAAAGGAAACAAATGATGAACTTCAAATTGAGAAAAAAAACATTCAAACTATGATTTGACAAAGGATTCAAACAAAGTATCCAGAAAGTATGAGGACTCAAAAGATTAATAACAGCTACATGAAACAATTTCAATTTAAAATGAACAAATGATATGAACAGGTTTTCTCTAAAGAATAAATTCAAATGGCCAACAAATTTATGAATATGTGTTCCACATCATTAGCTGTCAGGGAAATGCAAATTCAAGCCACTGTGAGGTATCCTCTCACTCCAGTTGGAATGGCTATTACCAAAAATATTGAAGACAAATGTTGAGGAGGACGTTGAGGAAAGAGAACAAACACCTGTACACCGTTGATGGGAATGTAAATTAGTACAATGATTCTGGAAAACATTATAAGAGTCTCCTCAAAAAATTAAAAACAGATCTAACATATAAGCCAGCAATCCCACTGCAAGGCATATGTACAAAGGAAATGAATTCAGTATGCTGAAGAGATGTATGTACTTCCAAGTTCACTACAGGACTCGTTTTTTTTTTTTTTCTTCACAATAACCAAGAGATGGGAAGCAAGCTAAGTATACATCAACTGACACAGAAAATGTGGAAATATAGAAATGGAATGCTGCTCAGTCAAGAAAAATAAGAAATCCTGTCATTCAAGCCAAGAAGGTGGGACTGGTTATAATAATGTTATATGAAATAATCCAAACATAGAAGGGTGAGTGCCTCATGGTCTCACTCATATGTGGAATCTAAAAAAGTTAAACTCATTGATGTTAGGAGCAGATTAAAAACCTAATGTGGGGCAAGATTAATCAATGGGTACTAAAAGATTCTTAGGACTAAGAAGTTTTGATGAGTATTGCTCAGCAGTGTGACTATAAATCACAATAATGCACTCTACATTTCAAAAAGCTGGAAGAAAGGATTTTTTTTTTTGTTTTGTTTTTGTTTTTCTCCAGTACCAGGAACCGAACTCACGACCTTGCACTTGCCAGGCAGGCACTTTGCCGCTGAGCTAAATCCCCAGCCCCTAAGAAAGGATTTTGATCGCTTTCATCATAAAGAAATGATAACTGTCTGAGAAGATAGATATGTTTAGCCAATCTCATGTATTACACAATGTGTACTTGTATGGCGACATCATATGGTACCACACTGATATGCATATTTTTTATTTTTATGTGTTAGTTAAGGGATCCAGGAGACTGAGGGTGAGAGGAGAGAAAAAGAAGGGGAACTAGGGTCGGAGGATGACAGGGAAAAAAATGAGGAAAGAAGGAAAAAATGGAAAGGAAATAAGGCGGCGAAGAAGGCTTGAAGAGAAAGGAAGGGAATGGGAAAAAGGAATCTAGATATATCCTGCTCAGGTACAAATTCTCTATGATGAAGGTGATCAGTATGCATTTCTAAAATGTACCAATAAACTTAATTAAAATAACAGCAAAAAAATAAGATATACTATGTATAGATACCAAATATCCACAATGAATTTAAACTTTTTTATTATAAATACAAGTGAATCTACTGTTCATACAAGAGCTGGTTTCATGAGTTGAATTTCTAGACTCAGGGTGAATGAAGCAAGTGCTTCTCCATGAATTGATTTTCTCATAACATTAACTTACACTGGAAATAACTTATG